CGTGACCTGGCTGAAGTCGGACGCTTAACCGACTGCACCACCCAGGCGCCCCAAAACTTTTTAAGTTGTAGATCTAAACATCGCTGAAGTTGTGTGGGCACCTGCCTGTGGAGGGTAAGTTAAAAATCTGGCCCCATTAAAAAGAATCCTGCAATGCCACTTCTGGGTATGCACCCAAAAGAATCAGAAGCAGGGATTCAAACAGATACTCGTGCCCTCACATTCATAGCACCATTATTCACAATAGCCAGAACGTGGAAGCAGCTCATGTGTCCCTTAATGAATGACGGACAAACAAAATGTGGTATATACATACAATGGAATATTATTTGTCCTTAAAATGGGATGAAACACTGAAACATGGTACCGCATGGGTGACACGTGAAAACATAATGCTAAGTTAATGAAGCCAGGCCCAAAGGGACAAACATTGTGTGATTCGACTTACAAGAGGTACTTAAAATAGTCAAGTTCATAAAGACAGAAAATAGAATGGCATTACCAGGGGTCGGGAAGAGGGTGGCTGGGAGGTGTTTCATGGGGCTCGAGTTTCTGTGTGGGAAGATTGACGGTTTGGAGATGAATGGCAGTTGTGGTTGGACAACACTGTGAATACCCTTAATGCCACTGAATTGTATACTTTAAAAAGTGTTAAAATGGTAAATTTTAAGGTATGTATTTTTTAACCATGCACGCACACAAAAGACATGTAGGAATCTGTATGGTCAGTCCAGATGGTCAAGTTGAAGGAGTATTGACACAGATGAAAGGTAATGGAGTCTGACCTAAATAAGAATCATGAATTATTTGGACGGTTTTATGCTGGCTCCCCCTCTCAGATGTAATAGGTCTGGACTGGTACCCAACAATCTGCATTTCTAACAAATTCCCTGGGGTATTTGTTTTCTAATGCTGCATAACAAATTATCCCAAATTTTAGTGGCTTATGAGAACATATTTTTTTTATCTCAAAATTTCTGTGGTCCAGGAGTCTAGTGGTTCTGGCTCAGGATCTGTCATGAGGTGCCAGTCAAACTGTTGATGGAGGCTGAAGTCATGTGAAGACTTGGCGGGCAGGACCCAGTTTCAGGATGATTCACTCCCTGTTAGCAAGAGGTGTAATTCCCTACTAGGTTGGTCTCTCCATATGTCTGTCTCACCACAGGGTATCTGAGTTTCCCAGAGTGGATGCTTCAAGAGAGTGAGAGCAAGCAGGAAGCCAGCTTTTGTGACTAGTATCCAAATTCTATTTTTCAGAGATAGGTCATTAAATGCAGCTCATATTCAAAAGGAGGGGCTCGACCTTTCAAAAGGAGGAGTACTGAAAAACCAATTTTAAAAGCCAATACCCTGGATGTATTCCTGGGGCTGCTATAAGAAAGTACTGTAAACTGGGTGACTTAAACACCAGAAATTTGTTGTCTCACAGTTCTGGAGGCTGAGAGTCCAAGATCAAGATGTCAGTAGGGCTGGTTTCTTCTGAGGCTTACGGGGGAAATTTTGTTTCAGAGCTCTCTCCTTGCTTCTGGTAACCTCACGCTTTCCATGGCTTACAGATGACCATCTTCTCCCTGTGTCTTTACATTGTTTTCCCTCTATACATGTCTATCTCTAAATAAAATTTCCTTTTTTTACAAGTACTACTGTCATAATGGATGGAGACCCACTGTAATGACCTATATATAACCCTACTTCCAAAAAAGTTCATGTTATGAAGTCCTGGGTGTTAGGACCTCAACATCTTTTGAATTGGATACAATTTAACACACAATACAATCAGGTAATACTGAGGGTCCTGCTCTGGGGACAATACTTTCGAGAATCACTGATCTAATCCACTCCTTGGTTACTCCAATGAGAAATGTAGGTTTTTTGGATCTCTGTTATCTGTGGACCCATGAAACCTTTGTGTTTTTTATAGGTTCTAGGTTCTTCATATTGACTCACAAAGCTCTGAAGTTCCAGGAATCCTTTAAAGGTGTGTGTGTGTGTGTGTGTGTGTGTGTGTGTGTGTGTGTGTGAATTTTCTGGAAACCTCATCATTCATCATTTAAGCTATCTACACTGGGAAGGAGAAGAGAGAGGGTAGGAGATGAAGAGGAGATAATGAAGGAGAAAGGAGTAAGGAAATGAGATATGAGAAATACAGGAAAAAGAAATATTGTACCAATTTAGACTCCTACCATAGCCTGCTACATCATCCAGTGTAAGGCAGGGTGGGAGGTGAGATAAAATCAACTCTTACTGTTATATGTATCTATATTTTTAGAAATTCAAGAAGACAATGAACACCTGTGTATCTGCCAGTCATCTAAAGACAAAGAACAGTGGCAGGGGCACCGATGCCTCTGTGTGCACAGCTCACAGCACCCTCTCCCTCCTTCCTGGATTATTTACTAGTCCCACGTTTGTGTTTATCATTTTCTTGTTTTCATTATGGTTTTACTACACACAGATAGACCCTTAAACAATATCTTGCCTAGGTTTACCTGTTTTTGAACTTTACATAAATGGAATCAGTCTAGGTGAGCATACATGACTTTCTATTTTTTTCCTCCACCTGGTGAAACCCCTCCATATTGCGTGGCTGTGGTTCATTCACTGTCATTGATGTCCACCCATCCTCTGATCCATAGATAGGTTACTTTTGCTGTCACACACACAAAAAAGTGTTATGAACATTCTTATGTTAGTGTATCAATATGTGTATCAAGTTACACATTCCCACTCAGAAAACATGCCTATACATATATTACATGTCATCTAATGAGGCTTATGTCCCTCCCTGGGTGGGGATTTTAACATTATCATGAAGCTCAGGTAACTGTCAGTCACTTTATGATTCCTGATTCATCTCTCCAGGCATCTGTCCTGGGGGGGGGGGGGTCATATTCAAAGGTTTCTTGTCTTGTTCCAGCAATTTGTTAGTTGCTAAAAGACAAAATCTGTAGTTAGGCAGAAGCTTCTAGGAGTTTCCTGAGTGCAGGGGTCTCGCTGATGACACTTTTACATGTCTCTTGATACACTGTGTAAGAATTTCTGCAGGGTATATGCCTAGGAATGTAACTGATGGAGTGCAGGGTGCACTCCCCTTAGCATCGCTGATTGGTTGGTAGATTTCAGGAGGGTTGTACTAGAACACTCCCACCAGGAACACCTAACTTATTGCTAGCTCACAGCTCAGCAGCACTTATTATTGGTTCAATATTTTGACTTGCCTGATGTCTACCCTACAAGCTGACTTTAGAACCAAACCCTCACATTAGATGTGACACCACCATATTGGACTTTTGGGGGACTTTATGATCCTCATGCCTAGAATGCCTGATGCCTCTGACATAATAGGTGCTCAGTAAATGAGAGAAAAATCAAATGAATCTTATGCTTTAGCTGTTTGGTAAAACCACACTTTTTCTTTCATTTTAAGTGTTTATCAGCACATTCCTGACTCCAATCATTCTTTCTGACTCCAAACTATGTACCTAATGTTAACCGTTAGTGGTATATTTTTTCCAAACTCAAAGGTTATGCAGGAAATTCAAGGCAGCAGTCCAAGTGTTGCCCCTAGAGGTAGGAAATGTACTACATTCACCTTACTGTAATCTAGTAAAAGACTGTAACATGAATTTAGACCAAAAAAAAAAAAAAAAAGAAGAGAAAACCTCCATAATTCCTAACCTTAATTACATAACCTACTTCGTTCTTATATGTTCCAACATGTCATTTTGTAAAAAAAAAAAAAAAAAAAAAAGTAAAAATTCTGCATTCACATACTTATTTGATTGTTTTATACTTAATTAAATTTCCACAGTTAAAACCATTTTTTGTGACAATGTGTAGGAATTGCTATTTAAAGGCATCTATTTTAATGAGCTATAAAGTTTTGGTTCCCAAACGCTAGTTTGCGGACCTCTGCCAATTTCTGATGGAAGTTATTAGCCTAAAAGGTACTAACAGAAAAACAACAGAATGAGCTTTTCAATACAATGAAATGCATTTCATTTAAAGGAACACCCCCCCCCCATTTCCCCCCTGAGATTATGTCATTTCTACCTTTTTAGTGACAAAATGTGTTTTAAGAAATTATGGTGTATTTATTTGTTTGACTACTCTGTCTGAACTCAGATTTTGTGTGTGTATGTTTGTGTTTTAATTTTACTAATCCTTGAAGTCTAAATGTTTGGAAGTCCTTTCAGAGCAGTTTAGTGCATTATTTAAAATGCATTTTGTAGGAAGCACCCTGGGAGTTACTCTCAAGAACACACAAGTCTCATAAAGCAAGGTATACTCATTTCTATTCCATGACTGTGGATTTAATTGATTGGTTGCAAGTAAGGCTTAGGACTAACACTATGGGGAGTGGTGTGCAAAGATGGGTAAGACTGTTTCATCCTTACCTGTTAATGGTTTAGTCTGCACGTTATACAATTAGAAGTGTGTGCCCTGGAACGTAGAGTGGTTTGGCAGCTGCTCAGGAGGGTGGAGACCCTGGACCCTGAAAAAAGTGGAAAGGTATACAGGAGGGGAAAACCCTACTAGTAAGATAGATAGGAGCCAAGGTCTGAAATCCATTCTTGTGTGAGCAAGGAGAGCAGGATCCGGGTTGGAGCGTGGTGAAGACAGACTGCAGAGGGAGATGCGGGCGGGTTGCGCAGGTTCTCCCGTTCCGGAAGAGCCTGCTAGAGGTGCAGCACTGGGCCAGGGAAGGAAGGGTGGGTTAAAGAACCACATGGAAGTCGTACCCAGACTTAGACAACGACAGAATTCAACAGCTGCAGCAGGTGAAAGAGGCCAATACTCTTTCAGCTTGGGGCTACTACGAACTAGGGGATACTACGAGCTGGCTACTCCAGGGGGTGGAGCCGGACACGCCCCTCGGGGGGGGGTTCACACACCCAATCAGCGACGAGCCGCCCCGCCCCACGGGGCACGCCCCCTGCTCCTTCCCTACACCCTCGGGATCCCCCGTCTCCCACAGGCGCCTGCGCAGCCGCCAGGCCCCGCCCCTTCACCCTCCAGCCCGGGTCTCCAGCAGCCAAGATGGCGGCTCCCTGTGTGTTCTGGGGCGCAGCGGTTTCCTACCGGCTCTTTCTCGGAGGTAGGGTTAGCCTTGCCCTCAGACAGGGCGTCTGGAAAGTCGCGGCTGCTGAGTTGCAGGTAGGTACCGGAGAGAAGTGGAAACACTGGTCCGTTGTAGCGCGAGGATGTGGAGCCGGCGCCGCTACCTTCCCCTGGCGTCTCGCGTGCCTGCCGACGGGGACCCTAGGGTCTTGGGTATTTAGAAGAGTTGTGCGGTTGAGAGAGGAATGGGTATTGGCTTGCAGCGGCCACTTGGGGTTGTGTCTGGTTTTCGCGGGGTGTGCAGTGAGGGAGGAAGTTACCTGCAGACGGAACTAGAGCGACCCCCTTTCTTGAGTTGGCTGCCAGGCAAAGGGGAGTCTGTGCCTAGGTGTGGAGTGAGGTCCGGTCCCTCCCGCCTTCCCCGCGGTCCAGTGGGAAGGAGGGCCGCGCCAGAGGCGGTGAATGAGAACTGGACTCCTGCAGTGAATGGTCTGGAACACTTCACGGAGAAAGTCACACAGTGGATAGGATTGATAGCGACTTTAAAAGTGCCTTGCATCTGTGCAGTTTCTGTTTTCTTAATTTTCCCGACACCTTGTCTCTGGAGAGGGGGAGCCCAGAACTTGAACGTTTCCGCTCATCCTGGGGGCAGTGAAAAGCCAAGATTCTAGCTTCACAGCTGGTTGAGTGATGATGCCATTTACTGACATGGGATCCCAACAGGAGGGACAAGATTTGAGAGGGTAGAAAACGAGTTCAGTTTTGGATAGAATTATATTTATTATACAATTATAATTGGGATGTCCAAGTGGAGATTTCCACTAGGCTCAAAGATTGGCAAGTTTATAGGTCGAGAAGAGTACTGATTTACAATCCTCTGTTACCTTGTAGATGGTAATTGAGGCCTTAAGAGTGAATTCAAACACCTAGTAAAGGTGTACTGAATTGGAATAAGTAGAGGTACAGGGCCCCGAAGGACAACAGTCAAGGAAGAAGAGCCTCCCAGAGACTGAGAATGAGCTGCCAGAGAAGTAGGGGGAAAACCAGACAGTGTGGTGTCATGGAAAACAGGTGAATGAAGTAGGGAAAGTGATAAAGAAGTACCAAGTATTGTGAAAAAGTCAATTATTATGATATAGAAACTATTGAAAGGGGTGCCTGGGTGGCTCGGTTGGTTGAGCCTCGCACTTCAGCTCAAGTCATGATCTTCCAGTTCCTGAGTTCGAGCCCCACGTTGGGCTTGCTTCTGTCAGCGCAGAGCCTGCCTTGGATCCTCTGTCCTCCTCTCTCTACCCCTGCCCTGCTTGAGCGCTCCCTCTCTCTCTCTCTCTCTCTCTCTCAAAAATAAACAAACGTGAAAAAAAAAAACTTGAAAAAAAGAATAGTCTATTTTAACGTAAATCAACCAGTCCACCTATTCATTTGTCCATCATTTGTTTTTTTAATACTTTCTCGGTGAAAAATATGTTGGAAGTTTTTATTTTTTTCCTGCATCTTATTTGAATATATTTTCTGTGTATGCATAGTCATCTATAAAAGGGACTGTTGCATATATAATGTTTTTTTTGCTGACACTTAATATGTGTCTGGGAGAGAATGCTAACTTTCTCTCCCTCAAACTCTGGAATATGCGTATCCTCCTGTGTCTTTCTCTATGTTCTTTTTATTGCGTGCAAACATCCATGCACGTGCATGCTTTCCAAAAAAGTAGATTCCATTCTACATTTTGCTTCTCCAACTTACATATATAGTAGAAATTCCTTCAGGTCACCTGTTATGTATCTAACTGCTATATAATATTTTATTATGAATGTGTCAGAGTTAATATTTGATGGCCATTTATTTTGTTCCCATTTTCTTCCCACGAATAAAGAGTTCAGTAAACATCGTGGCATAATTCTTGGTACTGTTGCTTTTAATTGTGTAGTAGAGAGTTCCAGTTGTGAGATTCTTGTTACAAAGTGTGTGTAATACATCTTAAATTTTAATAGGTATTTCCACATAGCTTTCCAGGAAGGCTGTAGCAATCCACACTCTATCTTTCATGTATGGGAGTGCCCCCTTTTCTACTGGCATCAGGTATGTTTTCCATTAAGATGAGTGAAAAATTTAATTTTCATCTCCCTGACCACTCTTCAAGGTTTTTCCCCCCCATATGGCAAATGTTTACTGAGCACTTTACTTGAGCCAGGCACTGTGAAGTAAACAAATCATTATTGGATAATTACCCAGACAGTATTGACCCATAGCACTCTCCAGGGATGATCCTGAGACTGCCAAATCCCCAAATTCGTGAATAGTATCACAGCTCATATTTTACCACGTGAAGTAGGACTCAGACATAACTGAAAGACTTAACTGACCCCAGTCAGACCCTTACTGTTACCATATATATATGGTTGAAGACATTTATGAAGCTTTTTTCTGGCACAGAACTTGTTTGTCTTAATTAAATATTAATGTTTCTTCACTTCTGTCTCCAACATTAATAGTTGTATTTCTCTTAGGGGCCATGTTTCATAACACAATAGAATAATAATAAATACATCTCATACAGGGTATTTTTGCAGTTTTTTTATATCTAAAAGTGTGACGAGGTGGTGATATAAATAGCTATTACTGTGGGTCACAGTCAGAAAAGTTTGAGGAGCACTGATGCCACAAGGAAAAAGAAACAAGTTTTGTTAAACTAGGATTCCTGTGGGCTCAATTGGGACCCTCACCAGCAGACTTCCTCTTGCATACCACTCTTGTGGTATACGCATTTCGTATTAATTTCTCTACAACTGCAAATTTGGGGTGGAAGAAGGAGTCTTGCGTGTGAATGGCAAAACTTCAGATTATGATCCCCCGAATATCAAGGACTTACATACAGTGTACTGAGATTTGCAGAGGTAAATACAGAAGAGCCCAGATGTGCAGTGCCTAATGCAAATGAGTTGTAAGGTGGGCAGTTCCTCAAAGGAGATGATAGAGTCTTCAGGAGCAGTGAGGAATTACATGATAAAAACGAGGTATTCTGTTCTAGGAAGATGAAATAGGTTACAGAAGGGGCCAGATGTGTACAGAGTGTGTGGACTCTTGCCAACAACAAATAATTGGTTCTAGCAGTTACAATTGGTGTAGTTACAAGAATGGTGAGAGACGGGAAAGTTTGGCAGGGCCCAGGTTATGGTCAGTTTTGCTGTACTAAGTACTTGAGTTTTTCTTTTTTTTTTTTTTTTTATCTTTCGCTAATGAGAGTAGCACCGGCATTATTATAAGCAGTTGACAGTCATGGTGTCCTGCAAAGGTTACCCGTGAATTCTTAAACCCTCTATCAGTATAAGACAAGAATACTGATTTAGTTTCCCAAAGTATTATTTATTTGTGACTTTCATAATAAGTAAACCAGTAGGCCAATTTCAATTTTTTATTTTACTTATGATTTATTTTTGAGAGAGAGCAAGAGCAAGCGCGAGCTGGCGAGGGGCAGAGGGAGAGAGAGAGCCCAAGCAGGCTCCGTGGCCGGCACGGAACCCCAGCGCAGGGCTCGATCTCGCTACTGTGAGATCACGATCTGAGTCAAAATCAAGAGTCGGATGCTTAACCGATTGAGCCACCCAGTTTCTATTTTGAAAGCTAGTATTGCCAAATGTCAAGGAGATGCCCTCTTTATTTTCTACTAAATGCTTAGTGCTTACACTTTCTGTTTTTATTGAGCCAATATACTTCCCTTGTGGGATTGGACTATCTGCCGAAGAATGACAGGCACAATCAGTGGCAGTTTGGGAGCTTGGCCCTTGTAGATTTTGGTTTTAATGGAAAAACGTTGTTGTCCTTGTCTTAAGTATCTGTTCTTATCCTGTATTTATCACAGCATCCAGTTGGTTTACGGTCGGGTCTTAATAAACTTTATTGATAAATTGCTTACAAACTCTTCGACAAACAGATTTAAAAATCGACTTGCATTTATTTGTATCAAATGCTGTATGCAGTTCTGTAAATTAGTTATGTTTTTCCCCAGGTAACTTTGGATTTTTTAAAAATCCCATTTTGTTAGCAATGGAGATAAAAACCCCTTGGTGGGATAAGTTGTTTCTTTTGAGATCTCACCCTGTCCTTTAAAGGATAGATTTAGTGTGTTCCTCATTACTCCATTATGAAAAATATTGACATTAAAAGTAAAATATTGACATTAAAAGTAGCATTTTCCTCATGTAGTAGTTTCTTACTTAAAGAGAGGCTGATAATAGATGCTACCATCATTCCCACCTATTTTGTCCTTACAAAGCAAATAAGTAAGTTTCCTTGTACTGTGCTTCATTGTTGTAATTAGGATGATGAATCCATTATTTATTGCTGTGTAACAAGTTACCCCCAAACTTAGCAGCTTAAAACAACAGACATTTGTTATGTCGTCGTTTCTGGCGGTCAGGATTCCACACACAGCTTAACTGGGTTTTGTGCTCACAGTCTCCCATAAAGCAGCAGTCCAGGTGTTGGCTGTGGCTTTAGTCCTCTCCAGGCTGGAGGGTGGAAATCTACCTTCCAGCTCACTCTTTGTAGGTGTTAGCAGGATTTATATCTTGGCAGGCTGTTGGGCCGGCTGTTGGTTGGAGGCCACCCTCAGTTCTTGCCACGTGGGCCTCTGTAGGGCAGCTCACCACATCTGGCTTCCATCAGTTGATCAACAGAGGGGGGGAAAGAGGGAAGACCATCTTTTTGTAACCTAATCTTAGAGGTGACGTTCTATTACTTTAGTAGTGTTCTATCCGTCAGAAGCAAGTTACTCAAGCGCACATTCGAGGGGATTGAACAGGATGAATATCAACCTGTAGAATCACTGGAAGCCATCTTGGAAGCTGCCTACAACTGTGAAAGACCCACATTTACTTCTTTTTTATTATCTCAATGTCTCGTGTGTTTAGGTCTTTCCCTTACAGTTGGTTTTTTTAAACCTCTTGAGAAAAATAGCATAACCTTTGTATTCCTACTCTGATGCTTCCTGCAGTGCCCACAGACACCTCCTAGATGCTCATGGATCATTTCTTGAATTAAACGTGAGGAGCTCTAGGGGCACCTGGGTGGCTCAGTTGGTTAAGCATCTGACTTCA